ACAGCAGAGGTCGATGCGACAGCGTACTGTCTGAGTGCATACTTTGAGGTATCTTCGTAATAACCTTATTATTATACATCTTTTCCTACCAAGGATACATCATAGGAATGCCGAAATCTAAAAAGTTTAGAACAGAATCAGCGAACTTTGTATGGAGTCTGGTTGAATTCTGGTGGCAGCCATGTTTGTTTTTATTATTAGAGGACGCTTACGCGCGTAATAATTCCATATTTGGAATTCGCATTTCCTAATAAGGTAGGATGAAAATACCCCGTAAAATACCGCAAAATTACGGCACGCTGTAACCTATGGCGTTACGGTGACAGATGTATAATAATTATTGATATTTACCCTTGGGATCACCTCATTCATATTTGTTTGTGCAGATATCCTTATTTTTTTATTTTTTTTTGAATATTTGGTGATTTTGGGTCAAAATGGTATGTTGCGCATAGTTAATTCAAGACTTGACAATACATTCTCGTAGCATATGTACCCATTAAGATGATGCCATCAAAATCTATGACTGAACAATAGGGCAGTACAGCTGTCTTGGACAGCAGGTGGCTTGTCTTGATATAAAAGTGAGCACAGTATTTCCAATGTTCTGTACCAATAGTGATTTTCCTTAATTTACTATTACATCTTGAAAAACTAGATCAGCACCTTGATGAAAACTTGATTCCACAGGACACAGGAAGTAAGTCAAGAATATATTCGAATATTGTTATTGGTTGTGTATAACATCCAGGCATTTTCATCGCCTCGACAACCACAACCAGTGAAAACAGTGGTCAAAAACTGTACTTTGGGCTAATTGTTAGGACTCTCCTGAACAGTGTAACAAAACAGCTCCTACATGTGCAACATATACAAAATTTGGCTTTTGAGGATTGTATAATAGTTGTGTGTTGTGTTTGTTTGTGTTGTTTTCTTGACTTTCGCTGTTTTCACTGATTCTTCGACCTGCGTTCACAGCAGATCATGCAGAGTCTATAGAAATACATGGTACAGTGGTGCATGTCTAAGTTCTGTGATGTAGCCCTGCCCCTGGGAATACAATAATAGTTGAGGATAATGAAAGTACATGAATATACATATTTGATTCAATTCTGTTTTGAAATCCCAAAGCAAAAAAAGAAAACTTAATTCTTTTTTTTTTTTTTTTTCATTGCAGGCCGTTTAAGTCGTGCTTCGACACGGGCCACCAGTAATGCATCAATGAGCTCAATCAACACCTCGCGCTCTACAAGTAGCATACACTCAAATCCTTGGAAATGAATTAGCTTCACAGAACTCATTTTAAAGTTACTCCTACGCCTCACTGCCTTTGATTCAGCATGTTGGTTTCATAAACACCACTATGTGTTCCATCAGAGAGAAAATGCAATCACAGGTATACAAAGTAGTATGTAAAAAAGATCCCATTCAAATTATGTATACATCACCCCAGTTTAGATGGGCCACAGAATCTGAATTGTTTTAGTTTTAGTGCGAGGTAAGCCATGGAATCTGAATTGTGTATCCATTCATACATTATATGAACAATAAACATTATACATACATATCCTATTTCATATATTAAAATGTTTGAGACATTTTAAATGCAAAACAATCGTTCACGAGCCATGGTTTTAGAAGTCACCATTTTGCAGTACGGCGCCAACATGTGTAGTTTTGATGGGATCTTGGTTTTTTAAACCTCAACATTTGATTATAAATAGATTTGAAAAATATGCATTGATATATTGCACTCAATTCAGATTACTGATTTGTTGTAGCCCAAAATATATTATGAGAGATTACATATAGCTACCTCTAGTGTGCGAAGGGGAGGGGGGCAATGATTAATAGAGGGCACACTGAATTGGTACTGGCGATTAATGTTTGTTATCCACTTTATAGATAAATTGTTAATTTCTTGTTTTTAAAGCTTTTTGAAGCTTAACTGGCAGTATTATTAATTGTTGCTTTGTTGATTTTTTTTTTCTTTGACCACACCAATTTTCTTTAGATTATACATTAATGTGACATTTGTTTTATTTGTTATATTGTTTTTCCAAGAAACTTAACTTTGTATATTGATAATGAATTGTTTTGATATTGGCAGACGTATACATTATATACATTTTGTGCATACAAACGAGATGACCTCACTTCACATAATTGGAGTGAAAGACTTTTTTTTTTTTTCAATGTCTGATGATATAGAGCACATTTATGCCCTTGTCTTATACCCCGTTTTATGTGTAAATTATTACAATGTCTCCCATTTCAATCTTGATCTGTGTATATCCCAATGTATTTGTAAATATCATGATTAATTTTTAAATAAAAAAATATTTGATTTACTAAATAACTACCCTTTCTTTGTATTTTTCTGATGAAGTTTTTATGCATGTATAAGTTGCATGGGTCCCACAGCAATCAAATGGTACAATGACAATAGTATGTGATATTTGTGGAGATATGTGATTGATACATGGATTGTATTTGTAGAGAAACATAATACAAACTTGTTTTAATTTGAATAAGAAAGTATCCGAACTTTAAGGGTGGACCCTTCTAAATATTGGTGGGTACATGCTTTAACCCCCACCCCTCATCTTAATGTTGAATTCCCATTTCCTATGCAAATATTTGAACTGTATACGACTTACTTAATGGTGTAGTTAAAGTTTCCAGAAGTAAAATGCGCACTAATTATTTTTATGTAAAAATGTATATTTTATGGTCGCTCATAATTTATGATATTCAAATGAGTGATGTGGAGAAGTTAAACGTGATACCACAATTTCCTTTCCGGAAAACTATAGATTAAAACACTAGAAACATTAAAGTTGTTTATTTTTGTGTTTTCACTAGAGCATGTTAGACATTTTTATATTCAGGTAGCTAAATCTTTAGATTGCATAAATTTAACAAAAATCACTGAAAAGTGAATAAATATGATGAGTGCCCTAGCTGCATCGTCCGCTCGCACTGTTAAAAATTCACGATGCTTTGCTGAGTAGTACTCATTTGATTATTTTGATGTCTGAATTAAAAAAGAAATGTATGCACCAATTTGCGTATCGATAGATGAAGTTTTTGGATTATTTTATTAAGTCATCTGTGATCTATGTTTTGATATCCAGTAAAAAGTAGCTGATTGGAAAGCATCGAAATATGTTGTACTAGAATGTTTCAAGAAGACTTAAAATGTATCTTTTCATTTGATATCACCTGTGAACTTGATTAAAAAACATTTACTTATTCTTCCAGATATGTACAATCAACTTTATAACTGACTGCAATAAAAATTAAAACACAAAAACAAAAATATTTCATACTTGACTGTGTGATTTATTATTCAAATTATATGAAAATATGCAAAATTTAGCAATTCTTGTTGTCATTCTTGACCATTGTTTTAAAGTACAAGCTTACTCATAATTTTTTGAAAAAGTTTGTTATAAATTGCACAAGTGTTTATTGGTTTATTATATAAAATCATGGAGCTATTGTCCCTTGGCACCATGAGATAGCATTCTTTTGTGTGTAACAGTGATGTATTTTAGAGAACTTCTCAGAATATTATCCAAAAATCACTATTTTTAGAACAATTTTATAGAGCACAATGTTGAAGAAAAATTGCATTTTTTGACACTTTAAAACCCAGATTTTTTAAATAATTGAGGACAACAAAAAGTACCCTGTCATTCACAATATACAATTTTTTCAGTCTTTGTCCCCAGACTACAATTTGAGATATGGCATAATATCTGTGCCATAAAAAAACCATGGTAAAAGTGTTATAATACTGTCAAAATAGCCACTATCCACTAAGATACAACCATCATTTTCTCAAAAATTAAGCTGGTGACCCCTAACTGTTTTTAAGTCCTTTAATTATTCGGAAGGACAATTTATTGGAAAATGAATGAATTCTAGGTATTTGAAATCATGAGCAGACTTCTATATATGATAGCATTATGGGTTCTATCAAGTATAGAAAATTCATTTTGATTAACATGTACCTGTATTGAACATGTAATGGGGTTTATGGGAATAACAACAATGGGTCACATGACCAATAGTACTATAAATATTCTAATTGCTCTCCATATTTTTAGCAGAATACAGACCTGAATAGTTTTGGTTTAAAATCTCCATACATATAAATTACCTAATTTGAATATTAATTGGCCAATATTTGGCTTTCCCAAGATACAAGTATTAGGCATCTTACCATTCTCGCCCGCCAGAGTATTTTTTCCGCCCACTCAACCATCAGTACCGAAAGAAGACATGGTTTGCGACAATGCATCTTGCATGCATTTCACTCAAACTTGGTATATGCTCTGGGACAATCCAAAGACCTGATTAGTTTAAGGTAAAAATCCATGTATATCAAATACCTAATTTGAATACTAATTAGTTATTAACTTTTTTATAATTTCTCAAGAACTGATCATTTCCATGAAACTTTGTAGCTGTATGCTTTTGGACAATGCCAGACCTGAGTAGTTTTTGGTTTAAATCTGTGCATATTAATGATCTAATTTGCATGATAGTCAATTTACAGCTTTTCTACTCATATCTCAACAACTAATGACATTTTAATGAAGCTTGGAACATAGATGCAAGCGTGCAACGCTCAGTTTGTGTATACCCGGTAAGATAAATGCAGCCAGCGTTATATTCAAAGCACAAGACTATCATTAATATATGAGATGACCATACATGGTCATGTGACCTCATTAATTATACCAGCAAATCTTATTCACTGAAATCAGCTGCAAGTATGTGAGTGACAACAGACTCACAATTTTGGGCATCATGAATGTAGTTGTATGATGTATATCTCTTGCACCACTACATATCTCAATAAATACTCATCAGATTTCAATGAAACTTGGTCCTTTTGGATAATTCATTGAAGTGATTAGTTTAAGATTGAAATTTATTCATATTAATTACCAAAATTTGCATAAATTAAGCAACTTTGCGATATCTCAAAAAAAATGCTTCAGATTTAAATAATAATTGGGGCAGAGGTATTCAGGAATAAATCACACAAAGTAAACCAGAGATATATACAATCACATTTATTCCTTTTATTTTAATAACAGTTTTGTTTATCACATTGTATAGGTATATTATTCTACATACTTCTTGTTTAAAAAATTCTAAATTTAAATATTCTCTATTTCTATATCTTTAATATTTGACACACAGGAGTTCTTTCGAACCTTTCTTTGATTTTTCCTGAGACAGGACATTATTATGTAAATATACCAGAGACAGATTGGTGGTAACACATTATGAAATCTTGTCTTTGCCATAGTACCATTTCACCAATGTATTAGGTTTGACACCCAGGTTATAGGCCATGATAATAAAAAAATTCCAGAAAACGGGCTGAAAGAAAAAAAAATATATTGATGAGATCACCTTTCATATATGTGCTTGCCATCTATGAATTAACAATCAATATTCTGGTATAAGGGCTCAATACCAGTAATAAGGTTTCCATAGATTACAATGTTGGGGTTTGAGTTTCTACAAAAAATAGGTTACAAAGATCAAAATATTGTTTTATTTTGTTTAAATCACATGTATGTAATGGAATTCTGGCCAGTAAAACACATGTTGGCCAGCTCCTACTCCTACAAAATGGATTTAAACAAAACACACAGATTTGTCAGGCTTTCTCAAAAAAGCAGCCAGTTTTTAAATGTCTAATATAGAGTTGCCCAGATCTACATTTCACTAGTACTTGTCAATAAACAAAATATCACAATAACGCAAGTCTAACAGCTGACTGGTCAAAAAGAAAAAAAATGTCGTGCATCGAGTGTTTAAAAGATAACTGGTATTGCACGATGACGCCTTTTCATTTTCTTACCCTAATATATCCATATTTTTCCCAACGTCTAGCAGATGTAATTATGGCGTCCTCCGTTACTCTAACATGTCCTTGCTTCTGTAAGGATTTTACCTGAAAAAAAATGTACGACTTGTTATTGTACATACAAGCAGAATACGTGTTACTACCTCTATATAACAGTGATTCAGTCCTTGATTTCAATATACATTACTTACTAAAGCATAGTCTTCCATGATGGGTATGTCAGGGAAACCACCCACTTTATTGAGCATTCTCCGAGTTAGGAATAGTGCTTGATCTCCATATGGTAGCTCTAATTATCAAAATGACAGTTACTTTCAGTTAGTTATATTGTTACAGTATGACATAAGTGTCAGATGGGATACACACGTAATTTTGATTAGGGCTCACCAAAGCCTCATCACTTTCACCTCATGATACCTCCATTTCGTGGTTAATAGTTTGTAATGCATTTGTACATCGTGAGCGAGAAGAAAAGTGTTGAAAGATGACAATTTCAATATAGCCATGATAGTTTCCATGAACACAATAAAAAGTTTCTTTTATTTGATTCATTATCCTTTGGTAAATACTGTAAAATATTTTTTTTTTGCTTTGAATTAATTTTTGCTATTTTTTCGCTGAAGGAATGATTCAGTGAAAATAAAATTCAGCGAATATACCTTTTTCCCTATATTTTACATTCAACTCGTCAGAAAATCAGTGAAAATAAATTCCATATAAAACACCCAAAACATCTTTTCAGCAAAAATTAATTCCAGCTAAAATAAAGTAGTTTACAGTATTTGGTAACTGTTGATGAGTAAAAGCTATTCAATACAGCTAGACATTCCAGACAAGGCTCTACATTTTTAATTACATTTGAAAATTATTAAAATGTATTCCATAGCAATCATACTTTAGTAAAGTATCTGATCTATGAGGTACGTTATTCTGTATTCTGACTGCCTTCCAGAAATTGATAAGACAGAGCATCTTTGATCCGATTGTGAAATAAATCCTCACGAACATGCATCCTACTATGTGATGTATACATGTATCAAATTCGAACATAAACAAGACAAAACATGGCTTCCAGTATTGGAATAAATCACTAAACCACTGTGTATCCATCCCCCATGAATTACCAAGCTCATTTAAAAAAATGACAGGATTCAGTCCAGGGAGTTTCAGAATACGACTCTGGATGGCCATACTGATGAACACGTGGACGGAGAGACTGAATTATAAGTTCCAATTGCAAACTTTGTTCAAACAGAGACTAGATAGTAAGCATTTCTGTGGCATGTGTACACAATGCCAAAAAAAAAAAAAAAAATCAAAGTTGTATTCCAGCTTTGTATCATATGCATAGCTCCCACTGATTGGTTTGGCAGCAAATCCTGAGTATTGAAGCTAGCCTGTATTGTCTTATCACTAAATACCACATCATTTTTCATTATTGTAATCGTAGACTGGCGCAGTCGGGCGATTAATTTGTTTTTGTAGTTTAGAGAAAATAAAAAAATTCACGAAATGGAGGTGTTAGCGCAAAATCCCCTGTAACTGCGAAATCACCCCGACTGGTTCATTCTGCATGGCCCTCTATCGACACTGCAGGAACCCGTTGATTTTTCAGCGGGTAATTATGTTAATGAGTGTTCTAATTGACAATCATCTAAGCCAATCACAACGGTCTCTTCAACTGACCTCTGACCGGGAAGACGTCGGCTGCTACAAGCAGCCGATTTTTTTTCTTTCAATTCTACGACAGTACGAGTTACATTTTTACACATTGTGATGAATAAAAAACGACGACTAAGGCAAACTTGAATTTCAACGTGCGGCCATGTTGGGTCTGCAGTGTGACCTGTATCATGTTGACCTCATTATGCACATATTTCCGCGCCCACTTCATTATAATATGTGCTCATGAATATTTAATAGCAATGAATTTCCTGCAGAATAAACCAGTTGGGGTGATTTCGTGCTAACACCTCCATTTGGTGAATTTTTTTATTTTATTTAAATTACAAAAACAAATTAATCGCCCCGACTGCACCAGTCTATTGTAATCGCTGAAGACCATTTTACTCTACTTTGGAGTGCTTCTAAAATTTTATTTCAAGATTCTGTTGGATGAGACTTCCCATGAACTGTACACAAGGATGCTTAAAGGTTCAACGAGAGGTTTTCTGCAAATCATACAAATGCAACTTTATCTGATCTCTAAATACATCATGTAAGATTCAGTATTCAGGAAATAACAAGAACTCCTTACCATTCCAGTCTCCTCTTGTCCTGACGCCCCATTTAAGTAATTCTAATTTCATTCGGAAAAACTTTGGACAGCTACAATAAGGCAACAACATGAGATTATAAAAATA